CATAAGTAGAGTGTAGAGAAGGATTCCAGCTCTCACACATTACAGTCTTAGAAAACTGTAATACAGTGATAGAAAACTGTATTCATCCGATTCTGAGGAGGTTGAAGAGCAAAGAGGGGCAAAGGATTGGCCGTTTCAAGGTTACTTAATGAAGATTTTCAAGTAAGGCACAAGAACCAGCCCCGCTTGCAAAGGAGGAAGACTTTTCAGAGCTGGAGTGGGAGTTCCCTGACCCAGTCAGGAATGACAGGTGAAACAAGCAGACCAATTCTGAAATGCTTGGCCTTCCAGCCATCTGGCCCACAGGCAGCGGGAGACACTCTGTTGGTGGAGTCAGAAGCTTTACTGAAAGGGACGAAGGAGGGGAAGTTTACATTTGGATTCAACACTTTACACAGGCAGATATTTCTCCCACATTTCAAGGAGAACGCCACTTTAATTATACAGTTCTATAATCTACTAAGTTTTAATAAAGAACTGTGCTTCTCAAGTTTCATTTGAGTCTGCTGGAAGGGGGGAGGGTGACCTGCTCACAACACAATTTTCATGATAGTGCCTTTGATTTCATGGGTAAACGCTATCAAATTAGAAATGGAGGTTTATGAGGAAAAAAAAAAAAAACCTTGCTGTATTATAAAACCAACCCAAGAATGAAATCACTGTGTTCAGCTAACAAAATGTATGGGCAATCAAGGCTTCTATGAAATGTAGAAATTAAACATAAAGGTACATTAAGTTATGTTATTGACACTCACTAGGTGTGCTTACGCACCATTTAATAGAAAGAACAGCACTGCAAAGCCCTTTATATCACAGAGAACAGACCCAGTCTCTCAATGGTCAGAAGCGTACATGCCTGATTCCCACATCACATGCACAGTGTGTATTGTTCATCTGTGCATTCATTAACACACTCTAATATGCTATATTCCAAGAAACATACCAAGTGGCTCAAAGGTATGTTCAGAGACTGCATGTCAATCCCATTTACAGTAGACTTCTTAGGATCTTTTTTAAAATTAAAAAAGTATCCATATCCTACAAAGTAACAGCAGTTAGGTTCAATATAATGCTCCCTAATTTGTTTGGTGTTTGGATAGTGCTTGCTTAGCATTTTCATATACAGTACCATTATTTTATTTAGAAAAACCTGCTGAGTAGTTCCTATTGTTTATTCATTGTATTTAGATTAGCTCAGTTTATGTTTGCTTGGAAGACTGTTTATGTCTTGCTTTTAATAATGGAAGAATTACAAAAGACTTCTGATGCCAACTTATATCAAAGAAGCTTTACAGCTAAGTGAAAATGAAAACAAATAGACTCTTGAGCGATCATCACTCCTCAGCCTTGATACAAGTTAAAATACAAGGCAAATCATAGTTACATGTTATGACGATGAACAATGATCCCCCCACAAGACACTGAAGTATTATGGGTTATACAATACACTCTTTCACTTCAGTGAACTAAGGAAACCAGAAAAGACACAGAAAAAAAAATCCTCAAATCTAACAGTCATTTTACTTTCACAAAAGACTGCTAAAACAACTGGTCTATTTTGAAAACTGTAAGATTAGAAGAGGGAAATCATATACAAGATTAAGACTTTTCTTCCATGAACTAAAATAGTTGGATTATCCCAGTCAGGATGGCCATGATCCAAGAGATGTGCAGATATGTTACACTCTTTCTCTTTTCTGGCTAGCTATGTAAGCTGACTTCAGAAGGAAAAACCAGGAAATATAATTTGCCAAAACTAGAGTGAGAGTGTGTACACTTGGCAGATCACATGAAACACTTTTATCATACACCATTAACACCAACACATATTTGGCAATGTTTGAGAATAAAGCCTTGATATCGTTTTACCACCTTATATATTCATGCTCTTTTAAAGATATAAATTGGTGGAAAGGGAACAATCCTTGCTGGCCTCTCCTTACAAGGAGTAGAAATGAAGTTCCTGAATATACTCAGAGCATCATTTCCTAAAGGAGAATTTGCAGTTTGTTGTTCCTCAAATTACATCTGGATACAGAGGAAACTACAAATCCCATACTTAAGAACAGCATTTCATAGTATTTGCACAAAATGTGAAAATTTATATTACATCACAGATTGTGCAAGTTGGGCGACAGGGTCAATAAGCATGTTACTGCATTACAAAGCTCTGTATAGCCAATTAAATCTCTTCAAGTTAAGTGTATGTTTGTGTGTGTGTGTGTGTGGGGTGGGGGGTGCTTCAAAAGATTACTAAGAGCAGGGGGAATGTTGCTCTAGTATTATTTTCTCAGCTTCAACTACAAAAAGGTCAAGGTTGTTTTCTCTACCCCTAAGATTCCTTGAAAGCTAGAACCCTCCAATTATGCCAAGGCAATACACGGGTTTCACTGTATTACCTTTCCCTAAGTTTTACTAAGCCCTATCTGTGCTGAACTAAAAGTTCGTTCTAAACATATATATTGAAACCCAAGGTCATTTAATAGTTTAAAGCAGTTATTAATTTTGCCAATTGATTAGCAAAAACTCATTAAAGTGTTTCACAGAAAAGTCAGAACATAAAGACACTGGTAGGGACTGTAGCCCAACGGAGCAGCTGCTTTGTCTACACAAAAGGTCCCAGGTTCAATTCTCATCCTCTCCAGGAAGGGCAGGAGAAACTCCTGCATGAAACTCCGGAGAGTTGCTGCCAGTCAGTGTTGACAGCACTGGCCTAGATGGACAATGATCTGACTCATTGTATGTTCCTAAAGATTAAAATTCCATTAGGAAGTAACAATACCTTGCAACTTTTAAAATGCATAAATACTGCAATCAATAATGTTTAATTCCAAAAGGGATCTAGAAGCCATTGTAACCAGAATACTGGTTATGAAATGCTTTCTGTTCTAATGGTAGAAATCTGTGACTTTCAGGTCCTCAAGATTCAAAATGTCAAACACAGTAATTGAAAGCAGTACTATTCCAATAGCAATGTATTAAGTCTTATGTCAGCAGGCCAGCTCTAGGTTTCTGTGAGACCTTGGGCAGCTATCAGTGCTCCCACTGAGTATGAAGTATAACACTTGGTTTTGCACCATGATGCCTCCTCTTCATAAGAGGCACATAATGAGAAGGAAGGACTCACTGGAGAAGACCCTAATGCTGGGAACGACTGAAGGCAAAAGGAGAAAGGGACGGCAGAGGTTGAGGTGGCTAGATGGGGTCACTGGAATGGAGGGTGTGAGCTTGTGTGGAGTCTGGGAGATGGTGGAGGGCAGGAGAGCCTAGAGGAATATTGTCCATGGGGTCGTGAATGGTTGGGCATGACTAGGCAGCTAAACAACAACCTCCTCTATCCTTCATTCCTGTCTAAGGTTCTTCCTCTATTTTTCCACTGGGTTCTTACTGTGATAATTTTATTTTCCTTTTCTTCCAATAACCCTCCTACCTCTAACACACTGGTTCAGTTTTCTTTTCTGACATTCCTACTCTTCTCATATTATTTAAAATGGGGAGTTGCACAAATGACTTAAATTTACAATTTCAGTGGACTTAATACATCCCCTTCCTCTAGCTGACAGATATCAACAGAGGAATCCACAAGTTTATTCTATATGTGACGACACAGCAGATCTCCCTTGCCCCACATGATGAAAGTTAGCAGGAAAGATAGCTCATGGTCTCTAAATACAATCTTACTGAGCAAAACTTATTTATTTAGTCTGGAAACACGTAACCCTCCTGTATGTGAACAGAGCATGTGGTTTCTGCATGCAATCAGATACTAGATTTTAGTCTAGCACGAGGTCTGAGGGTGCAATTTAAGTATACTGCTACAACTTATATGAAGGAACACAAGCCAGACTCAGGCATGCATCTGACCTGTAACATTAACAGTGGAATGTGGAATCTGTTGGAGCAAGTTTCTTTCAGCACAGACCCACAATCAGTAAACAGGTCATAATAGCAGCAAGCTAAACTGCCGCCTAACAGCAGCTCAGCTCAACTTGCAACACGGGGATAACAGCACTGGAAAGCACTGCCTGCTACTCATTGTAGGCTATTATCTCAGCATCATCCGCATCCCTAGCAATAGAGTATAATGCCTCAAGGCAGCACCATCAGTGATGTAATAAACCCCTGCCTTGGCCCATCTAGTGTTTAGGGTGCATTATGCTTTAGGGCAGTCTACGATTCTCCCATGCACAGGATCTTCCAATTTGTAATATAAGGAAAGGAGCTGCATTTGGCAAAACTCAAATAATTTGAACTGTTTTATACTTTCATATCCAAATGAAATGGGCAGAAATGTCTCCTCGTTCTACTAATTTACTGTGCAGTGGGTCTGTGGGGAGAGTCACAGCTATGCATGCCTTGTATGTGGATTTTGTAAATCTGAATGCGACTTAATTAACTTTATGATAAGCTAATAGGTAAACTAATCTACAATAGTCAGAAGCTGGTTAGTTTTTGTTTTGCTTTGGGATGGCACACTGTAGCACAACAAAATAGATGAAATACAGCACAACCAGTTGGAACTGTTCACATTATTTATTCAAAGTAATAAATGTAAATAGCACAACTGCAACCCTAGAATAAACATGAGATTTGGCAAGATTTATTTCATTATGCTTCCACAAGAGCATCGTGTCTAAGGAAAAGCAACCCTAAAATGTACAATTTTCTCTTTTGCTAAAAATATAACCATTTTGCTAAAAATATATAAGCAAATATAACCAGCAAAACACGTCAATAATTAGCACAAAGGCACTACAGCAAAGCATTAAGAACAAAAGGCTTGGTGATCTGGACCTGATTACCTTATTGTGTTTTAAATTCACTACTGTCCTTATCGTTCCAAAAGAATTCATGAAAAAACTTAGCCATCTGAAAATCAACTATGATTGGTTGTCATATACCTCATATCAAAGGTCTACCAAATGAGATTGAAGAAATGTCACATAAAATTTACCTTTTTTCACATACATTGCAATAAATAAAATCCATTAAAAACTCACCTACAGTTTGGAGGAGGGTCTAATGTAATTTCTGCAAGTTCTTTCTGAATTCTTAAGAGAGAAAAAAACACCAAAAGTTAAAAGGGTAGTATTTTTAAATGCTGTAATGCTCCAATTTCATTAAATCTAGCTGACTCCATTAATAAACAATACATGGGAACACAGGGATGTGAGAGCAATTTTTTCAGTTCATTTTATCAGGATTTACCTAGTTTACACCTTCCTGACAGAACATAAACACAGATGCATTCTGCCAAATCCATTCATTTCTGAGCTTGTGATTCACAGATGCCCTCAAACGTTTCCAACAGCAGGTGTACATTTGATACTCAGTTTTGATAAATGTGCACAAATACAGCATAATCAGTGGGACAAGAATGCATAACTTTCAAAGATAAGCACAACCCATGTGTGCATTTTGAAAACATGAATGAAAATACACATGATTTTTCATGCAACACAAAAACAAAGAAGCTTTAAATCTGATACACTTGACTTGGAACAAGCTTAAAGATGGAATTTGGAGGAAGGCAGGTTGCCTACCTGTAACTGCTGTTTGAGTGGACATCTGTGCATTCACACATGCATGCTTTGAGTGAATGCATGGTGCTCATTTGGTAAGATTCCAAAGTTGATTAATTATTATTTGGTGGGAAGCTGGCCCCTGGACATGCCCAAGGTGAAGGGAGGGGCTCCTCCCAAACCTCAGTTCAAATAATAAGACTGCCAGCAAAAGTATGCCCCTAGTCCCACAAGGGTAAGGAAGATATGTCCAAACCTGTGTCAAGATGTGACACTAGTGAGGATTGTGGGTCGGTATGTGTGAATGCACAGATGACCATTCAAAGAAGAACAGTTACAAGTAGGCAACCTTCCTTTCTTCTTCGTGGTCTCTGTGCATCAACATATGGGCAACTGGCAAGCTTACCTCTTGAAGGAGGATTGTGTTGCTCAAAGGAGTAGAGAAGAGAGGATGGCCTTGCTCTGGCCTGATAATGGCAAACAAAGGTCAAGGAATTCGACCAGGTCACAGCTCTGCAGAGATCAGAGAGGGACACTCTGGTATATAAGGCTATGAAGGTCGCCATTGCTGGTGGAATGAGTTCAGATAAGGCCAGATAGATGAAGGCCGGAGAGGTCATACCCTAGGAGTATGGTATGAACTGTCCCTCTTTCTTTGTGTAGAGATGGGGGAACCTTGATGAGAGCCCTCATAGGCAAAGAAAAGTCTCTGAGACTGTCTGATAGGCTATGTACTGGATTTGTAAAAAGTCATTGCCCTGCGAATATCCAGAGTAGAGGGCTAGCTCAACAGGGATGGAGGGAAATGGGAAGAAAGCTGAAAGGGCAATAGTCTTGTTGATATGGAAGGCAGAGTCTACTTTTGCCAAGAAAGTGCTATGGGGGCAGAGCATCACCTTATCTTTGTGGAATGTGAGGTGGGGGGGGTCAATGTGTAGGGCAGTTAGCTCACTGGCCCATCAAGTAGAGGTAATGACCATCTTCCAGGAGATGAGGCAGAGATCTGCAGAAACCATAGGTTCAAAAGGCTTTTGTGTAAGAACATGAAGGACAAGGGAGAGGCTCCAGGATGGAGGGGTTCTCAGACTGGTGAGGCCAGGTTAATGAGGCCTTTGAAGAACCTTTGAATGAGAGAATGAGAGAAAACAGAGCAGCCAGGGAGCGAAGTGTGGAAGGCAGATATGGTAGGTGCATAGAGGCAGATTGGAGATGTTTTGAGTCCTTTTCTGTACAAGGAATTGAGGAATAAGAGTATTTATATAGCAGAGGCTGTATTTGGTGGAAAGCTGTGTTCTGTTGTGAAGGTAGAGAAAGCTGCCAGTTGAGGGGAATTACCAGCATGCAAAACTCCTCTTTAAGGTGGTCAGTCTGATATTTTCTTGCCTGCTTAATAAATGTCTGACAGTGGTGGCAGGCATCAACGATATGTGTCTCCCCCAGGCAAAAAGGCTCAGAGAGTGGCTGTCCATAGACAGGGTCATAGCTTGCTGCCCCAGTCAATGCAGTTACGGAATGGGGCCCTGAGTGCCAATTTTTCTAACAGGCAAGGGCTGGTGAAAAGCAAGGAAAAAGCAAGAAAACCACTATCTTTCCGTTTTTTTATTTTAATTTCAGAGAAGAGGAAATGAAGACCTAAAGACAATAGAAGGCCAAAGAGGGATTGAGGAGGCAGTGTTTGCAAGATAAGTAGTACAGGAAGAACTTCCTAAAGTGCTCAGGATGGTGGTTGAAAAAGAACTGAGGTCATGGTGGGAGCCACTCCCCAAATACTGGACATGCCCAGGGACTAGCCTCCTGCCAAATAATAATTAAGCAGCTTTGGAATCTTCCGAATGAGCTCCATGCATGCACACAGAGCCCATATGTGTGATTCACAGAGACCACAAAGAAGAACTTAGGTAACCTCCAGTTTTGCTGATTTGCCCATTCCTACTTAAATGGAGTCAAACCACTGGTTCATTTATGATTGACATTTCTGCCAGCAGCTCTCCAGGGGTTAAGAGGAATCTTTCCAGCCCTATCAAGAGATTCCAAGCATCACACTTGGGTGTTTCTGCATGCAAGGCATGTACCCTAAGACACAGCTAATATTACACCATGGAATTTTATATTGCACCCTTCATCCTTGTTGACTGCAATCCAGAAGGGGCTTGCATGTACATCCCACACATACTCATAGTATTGCACAACCTCCATTTTAGAAAGAATCCCACAGAAAAAATACTTAAGCAAATCTTAAATTTTCAGATTTTCTGTCTGAGGAACAAGCATCCAATGTTTTGAGCTATATGGGAGTCCTTATAGATTATTTTGTTACCCTGTAGCTTTTTCTCAAACAAAATCTGACACACAACCTTTATGCAGTAGACAAATACAAGTAGTACAAAGAAGAATAAACAATATTAGAAAACAAATAGATGTAAGCACTGCCTCAGCATGTTTCCCCAATATTTGTGCTACTTGCTTTCCTTGATTCTTACTTGCTTTTGTCCTCAAAAAGAAAATAAGGCAAGAGGATATCATCAAATTTTCCTGTGCTCAAATATATACTTTAGCTATGAAGATGAATTCTGACCTCAAGCACACATGCACCTTGTTAAGTACAAAAAGCCTATAAACATAGCTTATGAGCTCAAAAATTAATTTCCCAAGATAAACATAAAATTGTATTAGCACGCTACAGTTACTCTTACAGCATTTACATTAATTCCAAAAAAGGTCAATAGACCACCCTTTTTAATTAGTGGAGATAATCTTAAATCAGTAACATTCTTATAAATGCAATGTACATGACAGAGCTAACCAAAAGAAAAAGAGGCCATTATCTCAGGAATGCTATGTGAATAAGTATAAGCCAAAACATTTACAGAACTAGTTTGCAAATCATGAACTATAATGTAAATAATCTAATTTTCTAACAGATTAAATAACTGAGAAGCTGCAGCATTACCAATACTTTATCAGGGTGTAATTCCGAAGCCTTTTAGCTATAGCAAGACACATCGAAAAGTGGATTATGAGGTATGACCACTGTGACCACAATCCAGTGAACATCCTGCACATGTGGCTAATGAATCGAAAACAGGACATGGAATTGCACTCTCTTTCTCAGCTTCCTTTCACCCAAGCCATAGTTGCTGTAGTGTGGTGGTTAGAATGTTGGACTGGGGTTCGGGGAATTCTGAGTTTTAATCCCAACTCAGGCTTATGAGGCTAAACTTGGAGACTTGAGCTGACTACTCACTCTCAGCCTAACCTACCTCTTAAGTTTATTAGGATAAAATAAGGATATAATGAAGCTACATATATGAGCTACATATACACATGTATATGAGTTGCCCTGGTTCCTTACAAGAGAGAAAAAGCAGTATATAAATGTGAGATGATGATGACTGTTAAAGTTTCTGTAATCATCACAATATTAAGTCAGAGTTTGAAGTTGAATCAGTTTCCAAAATCCTGCTTAATTGTAAATCACGGTTGTATTAGCACTGATCTTAATTAAGATCAATGCCAACAAAAAGACATAACCATGAAGAAAATGGACATGGGAAGAATTCATACTGGTGACTGAAAATCACAGTCTGTTCTCAATTACCTAATCATGGTTAAAAAAAAATTGGAAACATCACATGTCTGCTCTTAGGTCTTATGCTGAATAGCCCAATTCTATGTTCACTTAAAATCATGATCCACCAACTGTATTGCAGCTTTATTTTCAAGAAAGCATGTTCAAGATTATAGCTGAAGTCTCCCTTAAATCATAACTTTCATGCTTTTGAAACCAAGAATTGTGCTTATTCTTGAAGTTACAGAAGTAACATAGCCTAGATAAAAATGAATTGTGCCCAGAAATCAAGAGTTAAACTGCAGCTCAGACTCTTTTGCCAGGTTTTCAACTAAGAATCTATACCCTGACGTGTTAAGGATGGATGAAAAATCCTTGGGACTCAGCTGCTATACGATTTTACATGCATTGTCCTGTTTTTCCTAACAACTTAGAGAAACTGAGAAGTTGTCACCTTCCACACTGACAATTTTCTACATGCTATTTATTGCTCAATAGTTATCCTGGCCCAGTATGTATTTTTCATGCAAAGTGATTCAATTCACAATAGTATACACACCACAAATGGTCCCCCTGGCAGTAGTTGCATGCCAAATAAGCTTGAAAGTTGTACTCAAAAGAAAAGAAGTATTAAAAATGTATGGTGCCAAAAGAATGATTTGAATCACAATGATTACTTATGTCTTTCCTAGTTTCTACACATTTGGCATGTAAGTTCTTCAAACATTTGTAGAATGTTTCTAAATGTTCTTTCAAGCATAAAAGAATAACTAAGTAACCCATATTATAGGGTGGAGAAGAACAAAAACAAGTTCCTGGATGATTAATTGTGATATCAAAAATTCAAATACCAGGTTTTACACAGTAAGAAACGAAGTGTTAAAAGTCTGAGTTATTTAACCCTCGGTGACACAGAATTTTCAGTTCAGGTGACATGACTAATAATTCAGGCACAGAAAAT